GCAAATTTTTTTCCTGTAAAGGGGCTGCATCTTTCAGGAGCAGTACCAGTTTATGGAATTGGTTTCAAGTGTTATTGCGACCGTGACCTAAGGAGAGCAGACACATGTGATTTGAGAAAAAACACAAGCAAGATGAGAGGCTAAATAAAAGTAAAGTTTATGGACAAGCAAAAGTATATAAAGCATATACATAAGCTGAGGAGACAAATAAAATCAAGATAAAAAGATCTTAAAGAGAAAACTCTTTAAAAATTTGCTGCATAGTGGATCATAAATAATAAATACAGCAAAAGAAGCATTATTCCAGAGCTTACAGTTTGAAAAGCGAAACATAAAGAGACCAAACAGTGACTCAGAGGATGGGATTTTGCACATATTTGACATTAATGAAATGCAAGTTGGAATAAATAGTTTGTAAAGCTCAGATTAGCATTAAAAGTGAACTCAAGTACACAAACAAAGAGAAAATTAAATGCAAGATAGTGGGATAATGATAAATGTGCCAGGCATCCATTTAGCAAGAAATGGAAAAGAAACATGTAATCAAGCAAAGCCAAATGAAAATTACACTGTGGAATGATGATAATAGCTTCAAGACATTGTGAATTCTAATCAGGATGCAAAAGACATCCTGAGTATATAGGCTGAATCTTTAGAATATGCAACATAAAAGCCAATGCTTGCTGCTGAAACAGGGAGTCTACATATGTGACAAAAAACCGTAAATCTTGAGTTCAACCTGATGGATATATTTGAAGAAAATGGGATTTCTCCTGACATGTTATATCTAGAACAGACAAAAGTAATTCAACCAGTACAGCACCTGCTTTACACACTATCTATTCCATTAGAATAAGCAATAGTTTGAACACTGAAATACACATAAAAATAAATAATTTTACATAATCTCAAAATTACATAAGCGGCACAATAGTCCCTGAAAAAAAGTTAGATACTGACAAGGCTTATTCAGCCCTCCTGCATAAATAAAAATAGTCATTATATTTTGGAAGCCAGCAGGTAGGCTTGGGTGTTGAGAATGCTGTTAGTAGTGAACCTTGTAGCTGACGAGTATCAGGTCTGCCATCCAGGCTCACAAATCAGTATCAGAGCTGATGATACTCAGGAATGTGATATGAGGAATTCCTGGCAGAAAGTGTGGTAATCCATTACAATTAATTCCATCTCATTAGCAGATAATACAAACAAACATACAAAAAGGAAGTTGGTTTTGATTGTGGTATCACATACAGCTAGTTGCTGACTTCCCAGAGAAACCCAATGATTTTGGGAAGGTAAAAGTAGCTTGTAATATGCTAACCTTTAAAGGTATTAAGAGAGTATTAAAAACCACAGAGTATCTTACCACATCTGTTTTCAACCTTAGACATGTGTAAAGCATTGAGACCATAATAGAGGAAGAGGCAACATAAACATGGTATACATGCAGTATTGGTGACCTTACAAGCTGATCCAGTGAGGTGAGATTTGGAGCCCTATTGTTGTAAAAGAAACCACTAGTAGTTTTTTGCCTCACCAGTGAAACGAATACATCAGCAAGCACTGTTTTGCAATAATGTTTCCATAGGGTAAAGGTCAACTATTTGAGAAAAAAAATTCTCAAACAAAAATCCCAGGAGCTACTGAAGAATTTTAAAAGTCATTGCTATTCCCAAATATCAGCAACATATGATAATGAAATGGTAACATTTGAATTTATTTAATGAATTTGAGAAGGACCAGTGAATACAGCAGTCTTTTACCAGAAAACCAAGGTGATTAAATCATAACATGAGAACCTTAATGTTACCACAGAAGTGCAAAACTAAAAAAACAAAGTTCCACTCAAACAATAAAAGTATGTGCTAGTTTCAAGAGGATGTTGGGAAAAAAAATGAGAATAAAATGCACAAGATAAAGATGTGCTTATGTCCACCATTCTGTCAAAAAGGTCAAAGACCAGAGAAGTGGTCCTATGTACTTCCCAGGAATGACTGAACTGTCAAAGCAAATGGAACATAAAAATATTATATTCGAGCTACTGAATCATCATACCCAGGATGCTGAGAATAGAAATTCTCCTGAGAATGGGGTCAGTCTGGAATAGAAACAAACACCATGTACTAACCAGATGGGACAGAGCATGAGTAATCATGATATCTGAGAGAAAAGCTAGGACATGTGGCAAAACAGAACTCTATAGCATTTTTGACAAGCAATAGAGCAGACTGAAGAACAGATCTTACAAAATATGGAAACACACCTTAAAATTATAGGCTACTGGTCAGACCTTTAGGAACCAGGCAAAATGTCAGAGGCTTACGTAGTAACCATTGAGGGTAGAGCAGTGAAGTGTTTAAGCATGCCTGAACTATGTGATTGCAATCACGAGATCCGAGTTTACCTTAAATTAGATCATACATTTATTCGAGAACAAGAATTTGATTACATCTGACTGTCCCGTATAATAGCCAGGCAAATAGCAAGGCCAAGTTTGCTGTACGGATTGCTAGGAGTATTGAAATGGTACAAACAGCAGAGAGAATATTTTGCATTCCGTTCTTGAATGTTGAAAATATTCCCACAGAAAAGTTCACTGCAGTTGAGTACAATGTTTGAAGTCATGTTCAGTAACAGAATAAAGGAGTAACAGACTGAAACAGGAAGAAAAGAGTCTTATAAATACAGCTCTGATCTGTATTTGTATTTAGATTATTTCTGCAAGCAACTGACATGTTTGAAGAGAGAATTCCCCATGCTTACACCAAATCAAAGGGACAATTCCCCATCTGGAGTATATTGAAATTGTGCATCCAGATGGTAAGAAACATAGAGACAAGTAATGAAATGTGTATCAACAATAAAGAAGTGCCATAGTTCCTAACTGAGAGGGGTGGGGAAAAAAAGGGGTATAAGTTAACATGTCTCCCTATGCCTGCCCTTAATTATACTGAATTTTTTTTTATCATGGAGATATTTAATTTGAAAAGCTATAAATGTCTTGTTCGATTGTTACTAAACATTTGTTTAAGTGTGTGTCTCTCTCTGTAATGCTATTGCCACTATTACATGAAGATTTCAACAGACTTTATTGTTATTAAAGTTCATACAATCTTACTCCCCCCAAATGGGATATTTACCGCATTTACATAAACCCAACCCCTAACCTGGACTAATTTAACACAAAGCTCTCACAGGATAAACCACTAGAAATATGGAAGCAAAGACAGTGCCTTGATAGTTATTGTGGCTTAGTTTGTCTTCTTGGACAGGGACAATGAAACTGACTTTTCTAAGATCTGGCATTGAACTATTGCCAGGACTCATGTGCAACTGAGCTAATACTCTATTCCTTCTTCTTTATATTAGTCACCCTTATCAGAGCCAAAGATAAAACACATTTTTCTAAAACCTAAATAAATCCTTCTTCAAAGCATACTTTTCTTGCACATATTAAAAGAAACTAAGTGATGTCTACTTACGCATTCAGTTTATTTATATCTAGTCAACTACTTACGTAAAGAAATAGAAAAATTACTTTGTGCAGCTTCAAAGCTGTAGCTTCATTGATAATTACAGGTCAACTCTGCAATTAGTGAAAACTTATGCTGCAAAATGGGATAGAGCCCCAACTTTCTCAGCCTGTTGTCATAGGGGAGGTGCTCTAGTCCTCTTGTCAACTTCGTGGCCCCCCTCTGGACTTGCACCAACAGTTCCATGCCCTTCTTATGTTGGGGACACCAGAACGGTATGCAGTACTCCAGGTGGGGTCTCACAAGAGAAGAACAGAGATGCAGAATCACCTCCCTTGCCCTCCTGGCCATGCTACTTTTGATGCAGCCCAGGATACTGTTGGCTTTATGGGCTGTGAGTGCACACTGGCAGCTCAATTTTCCATTTTCATCAACAGGGAGGGTTTGGTTTTGGGGTTTTTTTCCCCCTTTTTCAGTATTAGAGAGAGGGTTTGGGTTTTTTCCCCCCTTTTTCAGTATCAGAGGGGTTTAAATTCATAATGAAATCTTTCTGATAGTGGGAGTAAAAAACCTGACCATCTGTTATCATACAGCGTAAAAGAAACATTGACTCCTTCCTGTAAGTATACTACTTCTTTTATCAAATTTGGTTGATATGGGTCAATGGGTTCAAACCTGTTAGGAGGTCAAAATAAAGGTGGGACAACGGGCAAAACAGAATACTTTACAGCTTGCTCTAGGACAGACCAAATGTCGCTAAATGTTCTGTTAGAATTATAGAATGTTTTGGGTTGGGAAGGAGCCTTAAAGATCATTTAGTTGCAACTGCCCAGCCAAGGGCAGGGACACCTGCCACTAGACCAGGTTGCTCCAAGTCCCATCCATCGCGGCCTTGAGCACTCCCAGGGATGGGGCACCCACAGCTTCTCTGATCAACCTGTCCCAGTGCCTCCCCACCCTCACAGTGAAGAATTTCCTCCTAATATCTAATCTAAACCTACTTTTTTTTTTTTTTTTTCAGTTTGAAGCCTTTTCCCCTTGTCCCGTCACTACAGTTACTGATGTTGCCCATGAGAAAAGGACACTTGACTTTTTCAGGGGCCTTACAAAACCAAAAGCAGACAACCAACCAACGAAACAAAAGAAAACCAGACCACCCTGAGATGGAATATAAAGTGAAATCCCACTTGAATGCTAAAAACAGAAGATGCTTGTTTCAAGGGCTAAATTTTGACATTTGTGGCCCTCAATTAGGCACTTACAGAGCGCCAAGCAGGGCTGATGACGCTACCTGCTGATCTGACTATGGAGGTTTAATAGAGGAGCCCCAGCGACCCAGAGTGGAAGCGGCGGGCGGAGCATTCCCGAAGGACACACCAGCCCCAGGAGCACCACGCCTGGGAGCTCCCCCCCGGGCTCGGCCCGGTGGTCCCGCCCTGACGCAGGCGCCTCCTGGCCCAATGGCGGCTCCGCTCTGCTTCCGGCGTCCGGCCCCGTCTCCTGGATACGGTCGCGGGGTGGCGACCATCCGACAGGCGCGCGGGGGGGGGGCGGGTACGGGCCCCGGTGGGACCCATCGGCGCGTTCCTGCTAGAATAAGGGGAAACAAATCCCCGCAGTTCCCGGAGTCACCCTGCCTGCTGTGCCGGTGCCCCGCCCGCTGGGTTTATTTCGTGGCGCGCAGGGACAGCCGTCCCGCCGGGACACTGCCACCGGGGCATGGGAGACGCCGTGCCGGGGGCGGGGCTCCGCCGGTTCGGTTGATGGCGGCGGCGCGGCGATGATGCTGCCGCCGGGTCCATCCTGCGCCGCATAAGTACGGCGGTCGCTCCCTCCCTTTCCCGCCGGGTCCATCCCTCGCCGCACAGGTACGGCTGTCGCTCCCCTTTCCCGCTTTCCTTCTTTCCCGCTTTCCCGCGCGCGGATCGCGGCCGTTACCTGGAGGGGTGCGCGCGCCCAACGGCCCCGCCCCTCACCGTGCTCTCGCTCCCCTCGCCGAGCTTCGGCCCGAGGGTGGGGTCGAACCGGGCGGGGCTGGTGTCCCCCGGCTGAAGGACTCCTTGTGTCACTTTATTTGATCTCATTGTACTTTATGACAAAACCGGCGAACGAATTCCAGCTCTCTAAAGTATGTCATGCGTGTTAGAGAAGTTGTGGATGCCCCGTCCCTGGCAGTGTTCAAGGCCAGGCTGGATGGGGTTCTGAGGAACCTGGTCTAGTGGGAGGTGTCCCTGCCCATGGGGAGGGGTTGGAACTAGATAATCTTTAAGGTCTCTTCCAACCCAAACCATTCTATGATTTTATCGTTCCATGGTCCATTGATTTGTGTACTGAAATTATGGTATAGCCATTACTCTTGAGATTCAGGGATGCAAGAGCAAATGCTTCTCTCTTCCCTGTTACCTCTTGCAGAGCTAAAGGAGACCTTATTTGCAAGTATTGCCAGTCATGAGGTGGCAAGGAAATCTTCTCTTTCCCATGTGTGAAGAAAGATTATGCACAGATACCCCCAAATGCCAGACAGAATTGTAGGAAAATTTATTTCCGAAGTCGGTAGCACGAGACTTAAAGAACATTAACCTTTTTGGCGTTTCAAACACCTGGCCTGGGGAAAGACACGCCCCTCTGTTCTTCTCAGGGCTTTTATCATCCCTACTCCTGCTCCCCACTCTGGGAACCTTCAAAGATGTCTGCAAAGACTTATCTTTTTCTAATACCAGGGAGAGGAGAAAACATCTAAAACTGTCTCTGGAAGAGATGCCTCTTCCAGACAGGAAAGTCTTCCTAAGTGAAATAAGCCCTGATCTCTTTGTAATAAATCTTCCGGAAGGGTCTTACACCGTTACACCATGACCATGTGCCTTTTTGTGTCATTGGTCTTGCTTTTGTCAGATAACCAGATATTTCTGTACTTGTCCTTGAGCCTGTCATGCATTGGTGTGGTTTGTTGCCTGAGTGGATGATAATGCCTTTCATATGACCAACAATGAAGATATCTTCTATCCATCTAATGTATATGTGCTGTTCAGTCTTGTGACAAGGTGCACATGTCAGGTTTGAAGTATTCATGGAAAGAAGAAGAGCAAGGAAGGGGCTTTGGTCATCATGATCCTCAGCTTCCTTATGAGGGGAAGTGGAGAGGCAGGCACTGATCTCTTCTCTGATCTTTCTGGAAATATATAATCCCTATTTTTGAGCATTGGGAGGGAGATACTGTACATCAATGACTATTAAATTTGAATGCTTCCCCCTTCTCCTCCTTTCTTTAAAGGATTATTTGTTTATGAGACTAATACCATGTTTTCACTCTCTTGCCTGTAAAGCATCCTGAAGTATGGAGAACTTCATTCTGTATGAGGAGATTGGAAGAGGAAATAAGACAGTTGTTTATAAAGGAAGAAGAAAGGGGACAATTAATTTTGTTGCCATTCTTTGCACTGATAAATGCAAAAGAGCTGAAATAACAAACTGGGTAAGTAATGGGGTTTTCCCTGCTAAATCTTGGAAAAGATACAGCCTACCAAAACCTTGTAGCCCAGGTATTATAAAAGAAAAATACCATGTGCTTCTTTAGATGGAGTTTGTCATCATTCAGATGAGCTTCTTAAGATTTTAAATTCTTATACTTTAAATAGAGTCTTATTTTAATGTATTTATTTCTTAATCTGATTTTATTGTTTTCTAGATCACAAGCTTAAGCCCATGTTTACAGTCGTACTGTTTTTGTGATGTGTCAGAGAACTTGTAACAATAGCTACTTGCATTTAGCGGTTTGCTTTACTTTACCATTAGTTGTGCAAATCCAGTGGCAGTAGTACCTTCCAGTAGATAATCAATTTCTTACTTAGCAAGAAGAAATTATTTTTGATGAAAGAAGGCCGTTTAAGATAATTCAATCCTGGTCTGTAAAACCTTGGCACAGTTTTAAACATCTGATACTTTCTGGAAAAGAAACTGTAACTGATACAGTTACATGGTTCAAATATTCTATTTTTCCGGTAGATAGGTTTTGTTTCTGTAAGGGGTTAACCTTGGCTGGATACCAGGTTCCCACCAAAGCCACTCTATCACTCCCTTCCTCAACTGGACAGGGGAGAGAAAATATAATGAAAGGCTTATGGGTTGAGGTAAGTGTAGAGAGAGATCACTCACCAGTTACCCTCACAGGGAAAACAGACTTGGTTTCGGGACATTAATTGAATTTGTTGCCAGAGAAGGATAATGAGAAATAAAACTAAATTCTTAAAACAACTTCCCCCCACCTCTCCCTCTTCCCCACCTCAACTTTACTCCCAATTTTCTCTCCCTCCTCCCCTGCCAATGACACAGGAAGATGAGGATGGAGGTTACAGTCAGTTCATCACATGCTGTCTTTGTTGCTCCTTCCTCCTAATGCTCTTCCCCTGCTCCAGCATGGGGGCCCTCCCATGGGAGACAGTCCCCCACAACCCTCTTCAATGTTGATCCTTCCCACAGGCTGCAGTTCTTCATGAACTGCTCCAACATGGGTCCCTTCCGTGGCGTACAGGCCCTCAGGAGCAGGCTGTTCTAGTGTGGGTCCCTGCAGGGTCATAAGTCCTGCCAGCAAATCATCTGCTACAGCGTGGGCACCTTTTTCCATGGGTCTGCAGGTCCTACCAGGAGCCTTCTCCAGCATAGGCTTCTCATGGAGTCACAGCCTTCCTCAGGCATTCACCTGCTCTGGTGTGGGGTCCTCCACAGGCTGCAGGCAGATCTCTGTTCCCCTATGGACCTCCGCAGGCTGCAGGGGGACAGCTGCCTCACCATGGTCTTCACCGTGGGCTGCAGGGGAAACCCTACTCCAGCTCCTGGAGCACCTCCTCCCCCTCCTTCTCCACTGACCTAGGTGTCTGTAGTGTTATTTCTGTCACATGTTCTCACTCCCCTCTCTGCTGCTGTTCTGCAGCAGTGTTTTCCCCCTTTCTAAATGTTATCACAGCAGCACTATGGCCATCGCTGATGAGCTTGGCCTCGGCCAGTGATGGGTCTGTCTTGGAGCCAGCTGGCATTGGATTAGTCAGACATAGGGAGAGTACTGGCAGCTTCACAGAGAAGCCACCCCTGTAGCCCCCCCTTTACCAAAACCTTGCCATTCAAACCCAATACAGTTTTATATTCCCTCTCATTGTTTCAGTGATCATTTCTTGGGAACTTTTTGTTCCTAGAAGCGTTATTAGTCTTACAAAACCATCGAGGGTACCTTACATACCAGTCAAGCAAAAAAACAGGCTTCTGTAGAGATTAGGCCATGAATGGTGTAATAGAAATATAGATCTCCAGGGACTCTGGGATGATTGTCCTTGCCTGATAAGATTAAGAATGATGGAAAATTTTCTTTTTTCTTTCTCTTGTTGTATTGTCTCTCATTTATATTCTTCTTGAAAAAAAAAAACGAGGAGTGCAAGTTTGACTCCAGTTTCCGATTTCCAGTTTGTTATTGTTTTAGTGATGCAGGAAGGTTAAATAATATTTATAATTTTGGATTGGGGAAGTTCCTAATTTTTCTTCTATAAACAGGTGAGTTGGGCAGGAGTTGTGAGGAAAGTTATCTTTTCTCAACATACGTGTAAAGCTGAAATATTTGAATAATAATATTAGTGCACTGGAAAAGGCAAGAGAACAAGTATTTCATCTAGGGTAAAGGTGTATTGTTTCTTGCTGCCCTGCCATAAGTCCATATAAACATATATATATTTATTCCCCCCCTCCAGTTAAGTATGTTGAAAACTTTGTTCTAGGTTCGTCTGACTCATGAAATCAGACACAAGAATATAGTGACATTTCATGAATGGTATGAAACAAGCAACCATCTCTGGCTTGTAGTGGAACTATGCACAGGTAAGATAAGCTCAAAAAGTAAAACTTTAAAAATGAGTGTTTGTAAGAGATTTCATCTGGCAGTTTCTCTACAACAAATCTTTGAAAAAAGCATGATTATCTCATTATTAGCTTGAGAACCCTGTTTATATATAAAAATGGTTTTGCTCTTGGAAACATTTTTAGAAATCAACTGAAATAATTTCTCCTCTCCTTCACTGTATGTTTGTTAAATGTTAGTTGATGTGGCATAATGTTGGTTTTTAAGAGCTGAAGAGATATGGCTAATCAGGGGAACATAAAAACAAATTATGGATAGTTGGAGGGTAGTTAAGTAATAACTTGAAAAGTTTTCTAAGTACTGGCAGCTTTGGCATTCTCTTTTAAAAGACAGCAAGGAGCAAATTAAGCTATAATGTATAAACGAAAATGTTGTTCAAGTTAATTTTTAATCAAAGGACAATTTAGCAGTTAAAGTAAATTATTTAAATTTTCTTCCTATTCTGTGCAAGTATTTTGACTTCCATGTTAAAATGTTAATTGGGGAGCTCTGAGAACCCAAAACTGCATTAAGTGATTCACCGAGTTTTGATAGGTTCTTATCAATCTATTGAAGAAATCTTTTAAAGCTTTCTCTAATTCTAGTGACTGCATATTTTAAACTCCCGATAGTGTTCTTTACTCCACATGGAGAGAAAAGAAAGCCAGTAGGCAAGTGATGCATGTTAAGATTTTTAGCATCTGAAGTTTGTTTAGTAGTAAAAGCCCTCATTACACACAGCCTTTTTATCTATCCAGAATTCTGTTTGAAAAATTCCTGAAGAAGAGAACCTACAAGTTCTGGGAAAAAAAAGTCGGGTCATTTTTGCAGTGATTAAAAGTGAAGTTAATGACCCATAAGGAAGCTTTGATCTCTGTGCTTAGTCCAACTTAGGGGCACATATTTAAGTTATTAGACAGGCAGACTTTTATTATTGAAGAATTATCAAGTTTGCTGCAAGGAGAGTGTCTTGAATCTAACTTGTTTATACATAAAATATGACATTGATTTCTTATGAATTTTGCTGAGATTGAAAGCTGCTTTTGAAATATGTAAGATCCCTCTCCTTTGTCTCAAGCTGACAAAGTGAGTTTCTGTTATCAGACACAGAATCCTTCTGTGTTGCCAGTTCTACTTTTTTTTTTTCTTTGTGTATTTGGCCATATTATAGAATTTTTCTATATGGAGTCCTCTAAATTACATTATAATAAACAGTTATTAAGCATGTTTGAAAATTCTTTACTATAGCTGTGTAATATGGGTGTTTTTAAAGGAATGACTGATTTACTAACCAACCTAAAAAGGCTTAGAAATAAAATAATTTTAAGATTCAGAAGTGTTGAATAATTTGAAGAATTCTGTAATGACGGACCTGTTAGTCTTTGTATTTTCTGAAACAAATAACTGATCAAAGGGAAAAAAGTACAGGAAAATCTATTGTGAGATTTGGAATAAAAGATCTAGTATCCATTTCTGTGAAAAAGTTTCCTAGTCCCTGTTTAATTCAGGAACTTAAATTTGTGTTTTGTTTTGTTTTAATCTGCAAAGGTGCTCTAAGCATTGTAAACATTCTGGAGGGGGAGTCAACCCCAGAGGGTTAGTCAGGTAACAATAATCTNAAATAACAGGCAACCCAGAAAACCAATAGATAATTTAGGAAATGCAAACTGTAAACTGTGGTCTCAGGAGAACAGATTTGGTGCAGGATTAGTAAGGAAACAAATGAGGCTGAGAAAAGGGATTTTAGGGGAGATGTTTTGTGGAATTTAGGATAGAAAACTGGGACAGGAAGGAAGAGAAAGACTGAGCAGTGAGCTTATGGGAAATTAGAAGTCATCCAAGTCCTATGAACAGTTAGGATGGGAATGACTCAAATTGACTGAGTCTGATGACATACCTGAGAATCCATGGAATGTGAGGAAGTAGGTGATGGGAAAGAAGAAAGATTTTTGCAAGGACACTGAAAGAAACAGGAACAATCAGTGGGGAAAAGCAAGGACTGTGAAGACCAGTGAAGGACACAGATGATAGAGGATATGTGTGAGGGTTATTTGGAAAGTTTTGTAAGTGTAATCTTATCAGAAAACAAAGGAAGGGCTGGTCAGAACTTAATGGAGGAGGACAGTAGTGATTTTGGAAGGACAGAGAAGTCGTGTTAGGATAAGAAATCCATAGAGCTATGCGAGTTTTTTCTGGGCAGTTACTGCTTATTCTTAGAGGGATGTACAGGGCAGACAGCTGGGATTTGTGTGAGAAACCTGGAAAACAAAATTTTAGTCCTGGATATTTTTTTGATTCTTTTCTCTAAAACAAAAGAAAAAAAAGAAAAGCAAAAAAAAAATAGAAAAAGAGGGGAAAGGATTAAAATGAAAGAACTGAGGCACATGAGTCAAGAGAATTCACAGTGTAGAAACACTGTATGTGAAGAAGAAACAAAATAAGTTATCTGTTGGATGTTGTTGACCTTGGGACCTCAAACTGTAACAGTTATACTATTTCAGTTGTCTCTGAATTCAGTGGAAAATTCTCTGCCATTATCTTTAGCAATTGTTCACAGAGGTTGATAGCCTGCTTTTGGTATTATTTATTCTTTTAACTTAGGCAGCGGGAATCTGGTTAAGGAATTTGAATAAATGCATTTGGTTTACATATAAACAAATTACTTTGTGAAGTGACACAGTTCCTGAATCTCTTTTTTTCACTTCTGATTCCTTTGTAAAACAAATCAAGTAATTTTGAAGTCATACACTCAATTTAATTTCATTCAAAATTAAGATTTTTGTCACAGTATTGAAAATAGATTTTTTTCTGTACATCTTAGATTTTACAACTAGTAGATAATATCAAGAAATATTTTAAATATCTACTAATAATGGCTTTTGACTGACATCTTTTGAAGAAGCTTGTGTAATGTCCTTGGGAATTACTTGTATGACATCTTCTTTATATGCACTTACTAACTATGTATAAACATGTTTCAGGTGGTTCTCTAGAATCTGTCATTGCTCAAGATGAACATCTACCTGAAGATGTAGTGAGAGAATTTGGTGTTGAATTGATTACTGGTTTATACCATATTCATGGGCTTGGAATTATCTTTTGTGAATTAACACCTGGAAAGGTAAGGAAGAGTATTATCTATAGGGAACACTGCATGTTACTTTGCATGCCATCAGCATTTGTTTTATTATTTGTATTCTACTGTTTGGAAGAGGTTTACCCCAGACTGGAGGCCAGTTGAGCTTTATAATATATGTGAAGACAATCAGAGACAAGTCTATAGCTTAAATATTTTATGATCTAATTGATTCTTTCCCTATTGTATATCTGATACAATGTGATAGATTCTTTTTGATTTGGTGTACTGGTTTAATTTAATGAAGGATTTTAGTTCTCTGTCACTGGACATAGAATAAATTCATTATTATTCTATCATGCTGCAGAATATTTTGCAGTCATAGAAAATGCTAATAGGGGACTAAAGTTAATTAAACTTTCTTTATTAATAACCTTCTCTATTGTTTCCAGATGCCATGTAAATTATCATCTTATTCTTGCATAAAAATACAAATCTTTATGTACTTTCTCATTTTGTGTATGTGTGTGTAATTTATGCAGAGGTTTGCCAAAGTCCATGTTTAATTCATGTAGTCACCAGAATATGACTATAAGCAAATATTCTTGCATAACAGTAATTGTTTTTGATCTTGATCTACTAGTGATCAAGTTGCCCTTCCTCTGTGAATTCTTCCACAATTCTACTCAGTTCATGTCATTTATGGGTCCAAAAGAACTAAAAAAAATATGAATAAAACATAATGGAGATGACTCTGTAGTCTTCCAAAGAAGAATGTTTGCTGTAAAGTACTCCTTTGAACAGAAAGTAGAGTGCTAAAGTTAAGATTGCTTCCATGCCCCGCTCCCTGCTTCTGGTTGAATAGGTTATTTCTCCAAACAAAGTTTTTGGGATTATGAAGTTTTTAGTTACAAGAATAAGTAGTGGCTGCCCAGAGAAAACTCTCATCATCATTGGACAAAATCTGTGGAATTTTCTGCCAGATAAAATTAGAAAAATTCACTTTTTTTTCCCCTCAAAGGAAGCCATGTTTGATTTCACTCTACTTTTATTTTCTTATACAGTTTTACTCTACTTTTACTTTCTTTTCTCTAGTAACATAATTGTTTATTTAGATTTAATAATAAGTAAATGAAAGTGCACATTGAAACTCTTAAGGTGATACTTTTGGTTGTAAGAAAAAAGTCAGTATTGGCGTTACTTAAAAAAAAAGCTTTTCAGTGTTTTTGATTATAGTGATCAATTCTATGTACTTAAATGGTTTCAGATTGTGATTTTTTAAAATAAATTATTTTATACTTTGTGTTGGAAATTTCAGCAATCATCAGTTTTAATATATTGTACTAGTATGTTGGATTTTGTTTATTCTTCTAGATTCTGCTGGAAGGGTCTGGCACTTTGAAATTCAGTAGTTTTTGCTTGGCTAAAGTGGATGGTGAAAACTTGGAAGAATTTTATGCTTTAGTTGGAAACGAAGAAGGTGAAGATGTTAGTGAAAGTACTCCACAAGGATACTTGAAAAACAGATTTCGAGGTACAATATTTTTACTAGCCAAAATTAACCTTTACCAAAGAGACAAAATGAAAGTTGGAAAAAAACTTAGTTTGAAGTAGTTTGGAGAGAAGACCTTGAAATAAAATAGTTGTTTAGCATTGTGGTGGGGGCTTTCTAAATTTCTGGAGAATCACAGAGTCACAGAATGGGTAAGGTTGGAAGAGGAACCAGAATGGGTCATCTGGTCCAGCCTTCCTTCTCAAGCAGTGTCATCCTAGATCACATGGCAGAGGATTGCATCCGGATAGTTCTTGAATATCTCCAGTGAGGGAGACTCCCAACCTCTCTGGGCAGACTGTTCCAGTGCTCTGTCACCTGCACATAAAGAAGCTCTTCCTCATATTCAGGTGCAACTTCCTGTGCGTAAGTTTCTACCTGTTGCCTCTTGTCCTATTGCTTGGCACCACCGAGAAGAGCCTGGCTCCATCCTCTTGGCTCCCCCTCTTTAGTCAGTCATCTCTCCTGTGGCTGAACAGGCCCAGCTTCCTGAGCCTTTTCTCGTAAGAGAGATGCTCTGGTCCCCCAGTCATCTTTGTAGCCCTCCACTGGACTCACACTAGGAGCTCCATGTCTCTCTTGTACTGAGGAGACCAGAACTGGACACACAGCACTCCAGATGTGGCCTCACTAGGGCTGAGTAGAGGGGCAGGATCATGTCCTTAAAACTGAATAATTAATTCTGTAGTGTTATCTTTTGTAAAGATTAATGTCTTTCCCTGTGTCTTTGCAATGGGAAAGCATGTTCAGTACATCTTCTGTAAACAGATTTAACTTATCCTGCATACAGGGTATTTAAGTAAGCTCAAACCCAAAATTCAGCTCTTAAGTAAGATTATTCAGAGAGATCGTAACTTACAGATGGAACAACACATGTGAGTGAGTAGAAAGAAACTATTTACAAGTGTATGGTAATAATTCTCTATTTCATAAATACAGTTTAACTAAGAGCTGGAAAATAATATGCTTCAGTCTGTCATAAAATATATGACATTAACAATTCCTGACTCCAAGTTTTCTTTTGGATTGAAGCTCATATGTAGGTACTTATAGATTGTATCGAACTTTCAGAACAGACTTCCAACATAGCATACCTGGAGATAATTAATTTTAAATCGTTTTTTATAGCTTTACGTGAAATAACTGCATTACAGTTTATTATATAATCTTTTTGTCTTGAACATATTTTTGTTATTTTATAAACTCTTCTTGATTTTTTTCTTTGTAGGGAAAAAAAAAGAGGGAGCAAAATTTCAAGGATTAAAAAACCCTCCCAAATGCAAAAAAAATAACAAACACTAAATTGAGTATGTGAATGAGATCTGAAGTGTTTCAATGTAACTAATTAATTGAAAATATTAATTATTGGTTTGGATTTGCTAAGGAGGCTAAATTATTATTTGCTATTTGATGAAAACTACAGAAAATCACTAAAGCTTTGGAAGCTCAAAGTTCAAACTGGAAATTGCTTGCCTTACTAAGGAAATTTTATTTCTGGTATTTAATTGATATAAGACAGTGTATTAAAATAAATAAAAAAGGATTTAAAGGAAATAGCAGAAAGAATCACATATTTACTATCTTTTGTGCTCCAGTTATAAAGCAGTAATTGGAGAGTGAAGAAATAAGTGATAAAGAAAAATGATTTAGAATTAATCCTGTTTTGTCTCAGAAAAATTTGAGCTATGGAATTATTTATAAACTTTTAAAAAGCCTTTGCTGCTGATGCTCTCTGTAAGGTCTGGTACTAAATTCCATTAAGTTCATATTAAATATATACACAAGTACAACACAGAACTATTGCTTCTTTCATTGGAGAGTGCACTGCTGTACCTTCATTGTCCTTTTTGATGCAAATGGTACAAGTGATTTGTAGTTTGAGGTCAACTGTTTGGCTACCTTTAAGAATGATAATTTCATTTCAAAGTATGAGGAAGTTAATGTGCTTCAGTTTTGATAGGCAGATCCATGCAAATGCAGTAGACTGCAAATGCTATGTTATTTTTTCATCGAATAAGAAAAAATTCAGAAACTTGTTTTTAATCTTCTGAATCATTTCTTAGTCCTTATCTTGGAGCATCTCGCAGACCTGTTTCCAAGATAGTGATGTGGCATATCAGTTACTGTTATTGGAAACAATGGAATAATTCTTAATATTTTATGAGAACAGAGAAAGCTCTCTAAATACTTTGCTATCTCCTTATGAAAGTCCACACTGGGAATAGTAACACCAAGACCAGAACTTTATTCAAGAAGAAATACAAATCTCATCTCTTTTCTGTTGCTTTTTAGAACAGCTGTTTTGATATGTATAGTAATGACCTTTTGTCACTTAAAAAAATAAAACCCAAGAACAAAAAAATCTAAAATAAACTTTTTAAAGGACTATGGAATGGACACTTCTACTGAGCTTACTGAGCTTGTGTAGTTTTTTTTAGAGATTTTTGAGAACTGTAGAAATAAGAACTGTATTTTTTTTTTCTGTATCAAGACAAAAGGGGTTTGTGAATAAGATGTTATCATTTGTGATGTTTTCAAAGTGTTTCAGTGTGAAAATAGCTATAACTATTTAGATCAGTGATCTAGTTGGCTACCTGCCTTGTTTTTTGTAACAAAACTTTCTGAGTTCATGAAGGTTTATGTCTTTGGATGGCTTTAAAAAAAAAATCCCAAACCTGATGTTACATAATGATTTCTGTTGCTTATATGAGAATGATATTGGTTTACTGTTCTGCTCAATTTGCTTGGTCCTGGAAGCTGTTAAAGCATATCAAAACATTCTTTGCATTAATCACTGTGTTTGAAAAGTGTAGCACAAGACAGCTTAGTTAATAGAAGTGAAATGAACAACAAAATATCATCTATAATCCTACATAATCCAGTTAAAGTTTAGGAAAGAAGTTCCTTTGAAACTACTTACCTTTGGTATTTCAGTTTTCTTATACTAAGTGAAGATAACCCCTAACTCACTGAAGTCTGGAGACAAAGTTTAAGGTGTTGAACAGGATAAATACTGAATGAGCAATCTAAGTGCATTATACCTACTGTATTTTGTAGGCTCTCCATTGTACACAGCTCCAGAAGCAATAAAGGGAGATGACTTCAGCAAAGCCAGTGATCTGTGGTCCTTGGGATGTTTACTTTATGAAATGTTCTCAGGTTGTAAGTTTGTGTATCTACATATTATCTGTTATAATGGAAACATAGGTCATGATCCCAGAGTAAATTCTTGTTAACTTTCTAGGGAAGTTAAGACACAGAAAAACTTCAGGCAGGTTTTAAAGATTTCTTGAAGAATATACTAACTGTGCTTAAAAGACAAAAAAAGTATCTTTATCAAATAATCAAGTAGAGTAGTACTGTTAAGTTGTCCTGTTGACTGTGATCTAAATACAACAAGACTAACCAACATGTATGGTTTAAATACTATGGTTTAAAATTATAGCAGCCCTCGAATTCTGACAGTGTAATGTTTTTAATCTCCTCAGTATTGAACTCTTAGTGCATTATTTCAAGCTTCACTTGTTTCACTTTCTAAAACTAGAGTAATTTGGTTTTCTGCAGATAAAGTGTCCAGTTGGTGCAGCTGAAAGGAAAGCTTCATCACAAAAGAGAATTATGCTGCAACCTTCTTAAATCTTAAACAATATGCTGATCTGTTGGATCAACACAGTAACACAGATATTGAGATTTCTACCTAGACCTCTTCCTATTATATCATTGCTGATTCATGCAGGGCTATCATGGTGATCTCCATCAAGCCATCTTTGGTGCCTTTTCTATCCATGGTTTCTTGTGCTGTTCATGATACAAGAATTTAATCCAAGGTTTTGAATATAAATTGAGAAGAGAACTTGATAAATAGCACTGAGGCTGAAGGTGTTTATTTCTTTGGATATGACATATCATTGCCATCACCTGACAGCCATTTTGAAGTTTGCCTAATCTGTGAAATACACTTCTGTTTGTTTGTAGGAAAACCACCATTCTTCTCAGAAAGCTTTTCTGAATTAATTGAAAAGATTTTATATGAAGATCCATTGCCACCTAGACCAGAGGGTGAGGTTCTGTTATTTTGTAATGAATCAAATCAGAGTAATAATGACAAAGCTATTTTTTTTGCACTATTTCTTCTGAGGCTGATTGCGGTAATCAGTTAGTTGTCTGAAGTGAATGTTAGCAATGCCTTCCTTTCATAAGAACTTTTTCCCTGTTAATGATGAATTCTTGTTTCCCCTTTGATAGACAGACATATAATTTACTTTTAATTGTTAACGCTAAATATACCTAGTGGTATGGAATTTTTGATCTTGGTCATTCTGGGCATCAGTGTTATTCATGGAGACCCTTAAATATTAGTGGCTCTTTTCAGTCATACTTGAAAATGGTAACCTGCAGAATTAAAACTGTTGTTATTTCTTTCAATTCTAGGAGAGATTTTTTTTTTTTCAAAGTGGGTGAAGTGCCTTTCTCAGTTCTGCACTCAGAAGTAGAGTCTTTTCTCAGTAAAATAAGAATTTTGGAAACTCTTTTGTATAGTGGGGTTCAACAATGGTCCTCTGAAAATTATTGCTGGAGGAAACTTAATTTCAGTTTAAGCAGATTTTAACTCCACTTTGTTTCTTTCTAATGGCTATATGATAATTGAAGGGTGCTTTTTTTATGTTACAATTTTAACTAGTTTGACGACTGAAAATTGGTGGTTTTGTTTGTTTTGGTTTTGTTTTGGTTTGGGTTTTTTGAGGATCCTTTGAAATACAAAGCGTGTATATTTAAGATTCTTTATACATTTAGTTTTTTTCAGATGAGATTGCTATTAAGAACATTTTTAGCATGATCTGTAGATAATTGTTTGGTCTACATTGGGCGACAGTTCTGCTGCCCGTTGCTGATCTTCACAAGTGCTTCTGTTTACAGGTTCTGCTTTTCACAAACCTTCTGCTGAGTTCATCAGTTTGCTTGATGGGTTGCTTCAAAAGGATCCTCAGAAAAGGTAAACTTCTAATCCATGACAGTTGTTTATGTAGTCACCTCTGGAGAAGATAATTACTATGATACTATATGTATAGTATTTTGTAGATGACAAAGAATGCAAAAAAAAATGTAATCCCTCATATAGAAGAACGAACTGTGCTTTTTGTTATATGAATATATACAAAATTAATGTTTTCATTAAGTGTGTCTTTGTATTTTTATAGCTAGTGCTAAATAGATAAGTGTAGCAGAATGATAGGCAATTTAGAATTGCATGGCTTTGCTTTTCCAGAGCAGTGGGCACAATTATTTTATCAGACTTTGATTTATAGGTGATACAGTTACATTGTTAAATAATTTGATGTAATTTACAGGGTAGCTCAGATAATTTACCTGCGGGATTGACTATGCAGTTTCCTTCATTTTTATCCTCATACCTCTGTTGTGTGAATTAACTATTCTGACTCGAGGTAAAAAGTTTGTCCTGAAAGAAAACTTATTTGTTGTCCAAATAAAAGCAAACACCAGGATTAATTGCTCTGTAGTGTCACTGGGTTAAAAACCTAGTCTGGTGTGTTTCTGTGGAGCTGTTGTACTTTGCCACTGCTTTTTCAGTTTGTTTGTTGCTTTTCAAAAGGCTGAATTGGACAGACCTATTGCAGCATCCGTTCTGGAAAGGATCCCTTCGCCACTGTGGTACTGAGTCTGCAGACAATCAAGGCACAAGCTCAAGGTACCAAATCTTTCAGAAAGACTTCTTTTGTAATAAATATAAGCAAAGATAAAAAAAGATATTTTATTATGTTCTTCTGTAAATTTTATCATTTTTGAAATTTTGCTTAGAATTTTCATGTATTATTGACCGGAGTTTTACACTATTCAGTGGGCAGTTTTGGATGTTTAGGAATTGTATTGTCCTATTAGTGTATTACACTGTCCATTCACTTCAACAGACTCTTTCCTTCTGGCTACAGAATATGTTAAAATACGTTTCTGAACTAACAGCTGTCAATTTTATTTATTTGTTTATATATGACATGTTGTTGCATGAATTTGACTTGCAATTTTTGTTTTGAAAGCTTTTGTAGAATGGGTCAGTTTTATTTCTAGTGAGTTTTTCATTTGTTTATTTTTGTGCATTAGGCTTAGAGCATCACAAAGCCTATCAGTACAGCATCTTAGAGCTGTGGTTGAGCTTTATAATCTTGCAAATGCAGCTGACCCATATTCTTTGCTTATGACATAAAGCATTAATCTAATAGTTGGGATTTTTTTCTAAATTTGTAATACTCTACACTGCTATATATATGCAGAAATACACAAAACTTTTGTGCAAATGGTTTCTATGTATTAAAAAATTAGGCTTCTTCAGAACTCCTGTTACCTTGCTGGTTTTTTTGTTTTTAATTTTGAATTAGGATATTTAGTGTTGACTTTTAAGTTACGTTGTTCTAAATATTTGAAAGATATGTTCTACTCTAGTGAACTGTTCATGTTCTAGTCTAGTGAACTAATGTTAGTTTTCTTTTAGAATGTTGAATGTTTTTGTGTTATATCTACTTTAAAATTTTCTCTCATGTTGTTTAATACCTGTTTCTGATACCAGTGCTGCAATGTGTTTGTAGTTATCGTTTATTCTACTTTGAGATGCAGCTCTTTGTCTTTTAATTTTATTACTGCTTTCACCTGCAAGACCTAGAAGAAATTAATATTTACAGTTTATACCACAAAGTAAGAATTTATTCATGGTTTTAGCAAGACCTCCATCTCAGTGCTCACTTTTGAAGAATTTTCAGAGAATCAGAAGAATCTTAATCTCCTATGAAATACTGGGCTATTTGACCTTACTCTTGAGGGTTTTCTAATGCCTCTGGTGTATCTGCTGATATATGCACTAATTGACAACTATGACAAATGCAGAACATTGGCCTGACATGCTAAAGAAGCTTGATACTTTTTCTTTTCCAACTGTGAGACCTGTGTATCTATTTTCTTCACAACGTGGATTTGATTAATATTTGATATCCTGGAGAGCCTTCAGGAAATTTGTATAACCCAGTTCCATTTGAATAATAGAGGGGCATGCTAAAAAACCCCTGAACAACCACAAGTAATAAACTTGCAATTAAGTGTGACATGTAAATCATTACACAACAAAAACAAAACTAAAAAAACCCCAGATCTTAAAAATAGCCAAACCAAATCAAAACAACCCACCAAAAAAGTAGCTTCAATCTAGGCTACCAACCTTGTTACAGGTAGGTTTGTTATGACTTTTTCCTGTGAAGATTGAATGATCTGTAATGCTCTTAATATTTCTTTACAAGTCTTTTATTATGGGGTAATAATTTAACTTTTCTACTGTCTTCCATATAAGTTCTAATGTGAGAGAAAGAATTTTTAATATTCTCCTGGTCATTTGCTGTAAACTTGTTTCTCATCATTGCCATTACTAACATAAAAAGTGTATGTAACACATATTAAAATAGTATGTTCTAGAGAATGACAGCTAAATTTTATTCTAACAATTGCAAAAAAATAATCCATATGATCCCTCTTTTTTTTAAGTCTGTAATTACTATCCTCTGTTAAGCAGCAATGAGGACACAGAGTCATCAGTGTCTTGGAGTACGAAAGGGTCAGTGGATACTCATAAAAATCTAGATAACCTGTCATCTTCAAGAGCAGATCTTAAACTACCAAGCAGTTCTTTCAAAATAGGTAATATTCTTATGTTATTTTTTCACTTATTTTTATCAATCCTACCAACATCTGTATGTTTTATTTGATTTTAACCTCTGAATGCAAGTTCATGTTCTCTTTTCAGTAGAAACTCAGACCGAGTTACGCCCCAAAAGTGCAGTTGATGGTGAATCAAATGAATCCATATTTCTTCTGAGGTATGAAAACCTAAAGAACAGTTATAAAAACCCTTGAAATCCTGTATTTGTGGTGCTGTTTTTTTTCCCACCGTCTCTTTAGACATTTTATTATTTTGTCTGTAACATTGTGCATCTCCTTTTGAATTTTCTATTACCACTTTAATTAATATTAAAATATTAGAATAGCTGCAAAAGCAGTGTGTGTAGTTAAAGCTTTATTACACTGTTTTTGGAAGTAAATTTTTGATTTCTTAGCTGTCAGTCTAAACAGAAGAATTTATTTCTTTCCTTCTTCAAATATATGAGAATAGGCTTGGAATATGATTGCTTTGAATATACAAGAATAAGCATTCAACATAAGATCCACTAATAAATTCTACCTGCAGCTTTTCTTCCCAAGCTGTTGGTAACAATCTGTTAAGTACTGCATGGGTATTAAATAAAAAAAAATAGTGATTTGTATTAGTTGAGGCCTGATTCTGGAACTTTGTACTAGTTTTCAAGCCAATAAGATTGTCTAATGAAATCGATACTTTTCTTATTGTCATCAAGAAGAAATATTCCAGTTTGAAAATACTCTTTCAAGCTTCTTGCATAACCTGAAATAGGGCTTTTATATATGATAGTGTGTACAAAAGTTATTTCAGTTGGTTTTATAAAGTGTTAATTCTCATCTCACTTATAAATTCTGTCATCACAGCTAAACACGTACTATTAGTAATTTCAAATAGCATTTGCTTTAGCAATCTGCTGAAAAGAAAGGCTACAATGACATTAAAAACAGTATAAAAGCATGTAATCCAAATCATGGTTTTTTAACAACATGCTGTATTTATGATAAGCACATTAGTTTAAATATAAAACTTGAAATGTAATGCAAACTTTTTTTAAAAAATCTGTTTGTAAACCGTCTTTGCTTCAATGATCTAACTTCTGAAAGCAGCATGTGTTATCTACTAAAGTATTAAAACATTGAAGTGAAAGGAAGCTGCTGACCTGGCAACTTGGCACCAGAATTTACTTAACTGCTGGAGGGGTTACTCAGCTTTTAACAGCAGTAGCTTCTTCTATGTATGCAAATGGAATAAGTCTTATTAATTTCAGATAGTTCAATTTAACAATCTCTTGTCTTTTTTTAAACTGAGAAACCATCTGAGAACTGAAAAAATAGGAAATATCTTCTGTATGTCAAACATATATGAAAGCAAATCAGTTGCATTAATTGAAAAAAAGTATATTTATCAAATCTACATATTTTGAAGGATGTGGTAACGTAGAATAATTATTTGGCCTCTTAGCTAGAAATCATAAGGTTTTTTTGTTTAGGAACTAAGACTGCCTAAACTTCCAGGCACATCCTGATATACTTTTTTTACCGAAAGAATTAGGACATTTTATGTAGTTTTATGTAGGTGATATTTTGGCATTCCTTTGCTGTACCCAAGTTTCTCTTGAAAATAGATGGAAGATTAGAAACATTATGTTAGTCATTTGATCATTGATTTTCATGAGTATTTTTAATTTTGTTTGGTGTTTTTATTTTTAATTTAGTTGCTTTTTCTAATAAATAAAGCTGATTTGTAGCTAAATGTGTCTATTGCTTTCTGCTAATGAAGAAAACACATTCATTTGAAGTTGATGATTTAACTAGTTTCCTGGCCTGCCAATTTAATTAATTCTAAAGTTGATTTTAAATGCTTTGCATTAATATATCCTATAAAACCCGAGTTCACTAACAGCATTATGAAAATTGCAACTTTGCAGTATTCTGGTCTTTCTTTCTTCATTTTTTAGTTTGCAAACAGGATTTTAAAAAAAAAAAGTTAAAGGTAAACCTAGTTCACAATTTTACACGAGATTTAGGCAGTCTTAGCCAAGAGTTAACAGTCAGAAGAGAATAACATAAAATAAATTTCAATTCTTTCTCACATTAATTTTCTTTGTATCTTGTTTATTATTAGGAATTCAGATAATAATGTTTGAGCATCCAGTTTTGAGAGTGATTATTGCTGAGAAAATAATCAAATTAGATCCATTTAACATCAACATCAACTACAAAATACCACCTTCCCATTTTTAACTGGTAAACAAATCCTAACCTTGTCAGAACACATTTAAAGACAGAAAATTCATGTCTAGTTGGTGGCTCAGGCATAGCCTCATTTATGTTTATCAGCTTTGAAAGTTTGCTATATGGCATAAAAGTTTCAAAAGAGCAGCAAAAAGGTACTTTGCAATGAAACTTAATCTGTAGTCTTTATTGGTTTATTACTATTTTTGTCTTTCTTTTCTTTAAGTTCTCGTCCCACACCTAGAACTAGCGCTGCAGTAGAAGTAAGTGATGCTACTGCTGCCCCAATCAAAAATTTTCCACAAAGAGATTCATGCTTGAAGAAGGTGAGTACAAAATTTATATTAAGGCATGATGGTATCTCTCTAGTTAGAATTTTAGCCTGGCGTCTGTGGCAAAGTCAAGTTTCTTCTCCATCCATAATTAGCAGGGAATCAGTTCCTATAGTGTGCAAGTAATTTGAAAAATATATTTGCAGAAGTCCAGATGTATGAGCTAAGAAAGATGTTTAGTCTCCTTTTTTGCCCCAGTGCATAAAAGGGAAAATGTTATCTTCTTTCTTGTCAGTCTGCAGTTTGGACCCATTGCTTTTTCTTCCAATATTTCTCTTATTATTAATTGGTCCTATCTACTATTACATAAATGAAAGGTAAGTTAGAATATGTTGTTTACATGGCAAAACTGCATAGTATAATTTTGAAATGAAACATTTTGGGAATAAACATGAACAAACATTTTTTGGTGCAAAAAAGTTTTTAAAAAAAGCTTTGTTCTTGTTCTAGGCTGAAAATATGTGCTCAAGTCAGCAGGATATGGAGTCAGCATTGAGAGAGCTCATTTACACTGAATCTGATCTTATCATAACGCCAATCATTGACAATCCAAAGGTATAGCAAAATAAAATATAGGATTCAGGAACTTGTGGCTGGGGCTATTTTTGCAGATAATTTCTTAATCAGGGTGAAACTCTTTTCCTGTATTTTACAGTTCCCATTTTAAAGCAGTTACACCCAGTCATCTGGCAAGCTCTCATGCAATTTTTTTGGCAGCCTGTGTAATTCTATTGTGTTGCTAATTTGGAGGAATGAGTTATTTTGGGATTGAATAATAATATTAAATAATGTCTTAATAAGCTACTAAATAATGTGTTCAGTGCTTTCGTAGATTTGTTTTCTGATAACTTCCTTTGATACCTGTTACTTAAATGAGCACAAAACTGTGGTTTGGTATACTCAAAGCAAGGCCATATATGAAGCCTTCTAGATTATAAGTTAGACCTTTACAGAAAAACTTTTGTTATTCTTTAAACTTCAGATGTGATAATGTTTTTGAACTCATTTTCTCTCCAAAAGAACAAGAAATGTCCATCCGTTATAAGAAATGTCCATCCTATTTCTGTCATATGTATTCTAATGTGATAACAGTTTGTAATGAGTCTCTTGAGCAGGGACTGGCACTTGCTTGACAGCAAAGAGCAAACCAAAAAAGAATCAGAGCTCTGCACTGCAATGACAGCGTAACGTGCATTTATGGGCATTACTGGTAGAAGGAATAATAGGCAAGAGCCCCTTTAGTCTTCCTTTTGTTTCTGTGCTAAAAAAAAATGCAGCTGTTTTAGCAACTTTACTCAGTAAGTGACGGATGCAGAAAATGCAACATTTTTGATTGGAAATGAACATCTCATTAAGAATGTCTTACGGCTTTTAGTTGCTGTGTTGCTTTAGTATTAACAATTCTTTTGGTTTGTTTTAATGGATTTCCTAACACTTTCAAAAATTAGAGGTCTTATACAGCTAGATAGTATAACTACCAAATAATAATGTTTTAATATGTTTGGAGGGAGGGACATTGTTACCAGTGGAGAATTTCAAAGTGTTCGAATGCTACCACTGTTAAATTGTCAGTTCTATCTCAGGACAATGACACAAAGCCTTAGTCCTTCCCAGCTTCTCTTTTTATTACAAGTATAAGAGAGGAGATTAGGGGTAAGTGTATATACTGATGTGCACATGGAGACTAATCTCCTTACCATGCAATGGCAGACTCAGAATTAATGCAAAATAGCCCGCTAAGTTCCAGGGACATATAATCAGAGTCATTGCCTGCTTGGCAATGACTCTTTGCACTTCAGACTGAAGGATGATACTGACACCTGGTAAAGCTGAAGAGCTTGCAATTTAATCTCATGCAAAAGGATTTACTAGATGCTGGCAGAATCTGAAAAGTTGAAATGTCAGCTTACATTGTAAAATTTCCCTGTATTCTGCAGATCTGTGGAGCTGAAGACCTTTTTTCGAAAATAGCTCTCTTGTTACACTTAGACTTCATCTGTCAAAGGCTAAATTCCACTACACAGTTACCTTTTCTGTATGCTTTATTTACTGAAAATCACACTCAAATCCTCAGTCACTGAGCAGTCATCCATTTTCATGATGGGCCAGAAAATGATGTTTCACGAGGGGGAAAAAAATCCCCATACCTTATGAACAATTACTTGTTGTTAATAAGACTTTTTATATTCTATAATGATCTAGTGTATATATGTATTTACTGTATGGAAATGAATTGCTAAAACATTTATGAGCTGTCGCCTGCATAGTTCCTTTCTGTAGCTTTTGAAACCCAAATGCAAGTGTTTTGCTACATACAAGCAAGATAAAAATGTAAACTGAAAAAATCCTATCATTTTGTAATCCTATTTTAAAAATCACTTAAATGGAAACACTAGCAATATAATTATGTTAAAAACATAGAGTTAAATCTCCAATATTTGCTTGGAAGGAATAAATACCAGAAAACAATGGAAAATTCCTCAGTGAAGAGAAGTAGTATGTACACCCATCCTGTACAAATTTTGCATCTTTGTATTCTCACATTTAACTACTTAGAGATTTTCCAGAAATGTATTAAAACTAGTTGTAATGTGTTTGTTTATTTTTCCAGATAATAAAGCAAGTGTCAGTTAGATTTGACTCAAAAACTTTACATGTACCAGCACATTCAGGTATGGATCTGCTGAAGCTGTTAACAAGTTCTGCGTGTGTTGCTGTAACTCGCTATCACAAGACCTGTAGCCTCCTGCCGTAGATTATAAACCGTCACAGTTTCAGAACTCATAATTTTTCTGAAACTGTTTCTGTAATGTTTTTAGCTAGACCAATTTTGAGTAGCCTTTTCATGAGTTACATGACATTCCTTTCTCTTCTGCCTTCTTCAGTTACAAGCTTGTGCTCAAAAACTTTTGCAATGAGACAGACATCGTTGTTTTAGTGTGGGCAAAACAGTGGATTTTTTCCAACTGAGATATATTAACTGAAATATTCAACTAAATATATTAAAATGTTAAAAAGGAAGGGAAGCAAATGGAAAGAGGATCTTAAAATGTACAGTGTTGATCAGCTGTAATACTCGTCAGCTTTGCCAATCCCACCTTGAAACATGAATTGTTATGGCAATCATGTCCCAAACGATAGTGTGGAGTTGTTTTGGGTTTGCTTTTTTGTTATCGTTAGTTTGTAATGTCTAGAAAGAGTGCTGTTATTTCTGAAAACTAAAGTCTGCTCATTGTCATGGGTGTAATCATTTCTTCCCCTGGAAAATTTACTCTAGTCTTTTTAAGGAAGTATTACACACTTCACCGTGCTTGAAGAGGGATACCAACCACATATGAAGTCCTTCTGGAATTCACATAGCACCTCTTCCTAGGCATAAGAATTAATTTTTTCTTTCTATAAAATATGTATCTTGGAGAGTTAATTTGCTAAAGAAATTTTGTAGTTGGGAAGGAATTTAATGTCCCCCAGTCTCCCAATCAAGACTGTAGTAACAGAAAATATTTTTAATTTGGTTCATCAAAAAATGATCCAATACAAGTGCCTAAGGGAAGTATTATATTTCATATTGCATTTAAGTAGTTTATCACACTGATGTTCTGATATGTTTTACTATTGTTATCATTATTATTTAATATGAGACAGTGTTTTTTTGTTGTTGTAATGCTTTCGGAGTTGTAGCTTTTTTCTGGTCAACTTTCTGATTGTTTTTGAAGATACTGAATTTGATGCTGCTCATCAGTAATGATTAAAGATAGTATGGAAAAATTAAGATAAATACCTGCAATCCACACCTCTTTTCACCTTTGCTAATGTATATTATAATTGCCTGCATTAGTAGGTATTGTTACTTAAGTGTAAAATTAACATAAAATACAGAAAACGTGCTTTTAAATATTCTACAGTGGAGATATCAGGATGGCAGATAAGTTAATAATAAATAACTAACCAAAACTGAGGGAGTGTATGGCTGCTAGATTGAAATTAACTGTTGAGACTGATAAGGAAGTCTGTGAAAAATCTCAGTTCATGTACACTGGTCGGTGAATTGAACCACGGGATTTATGTTAATTGTCCTAGTGGCTTGATTTCTTTGTGTTCCTTCTGAAGTCATCTGTGTTTTGATACTACTGAAGTATGACTCAATGGTGCCTACCTATATGAGTAACAACACACATTTTCAGTTTATTGATTCTGAGTAGATTTCACTGACTTTCGTTAGGTTTTACCTCAAGTTTACTCTAATGAAAGTGCACTTTCTTATTAAGAATTAGTAATGATAAAGGACAACTACTACCTTTCCTAAATATAATGTTTCCTTAAATGAAGTCCAGGGACTTAGCAGGGTTGCACTTTCAAAAATACTTTGAAGCTTTCATTGCTCTGTTTTTGTCATCTGTTTCTCTTCTTGCTTCCTTTTTATTTCTGTAATCTTCAGACATGAATTATAACATGCTTTTTTTATATTTTAAGTACTAAAATTATAATTAGATTCAAAATTTGGAACTTACTTATTCATGCTGATGTTACTTTCTAGAGTGTTAAAGCAACATCAAAGATCCATTATCTTTAACTACTTGTTTGCTTCTTAGCTGAGAAGTTATCATCTATGAAAGATGTGGACTGGAATAACTTCTTGAAAAGAGTATGCTCACTGCTGGATTCCACTGAGAAGAACACAGGAGCAGCACGTTCTAAACTGAACTTACTGTACTATCTGTGCACTCTGGCTGTCCACAAGGAGATTGCAAGCAGACTAATGAGCTCTCAGCTGGTAAATAATAAAGCTTTGAAAGAATCAACATGGTTTACATACTTGCCATTGTAGCAAAAATCAGCTACTTTTAGTTATGTTTGAAGAAATCATTGATGTACTGACAAAAATATGTCAAAAAAATTACTATGTTCCATGTCAGGTGTTTTAAAAATGCTGAGGGAAACTAATTCTTTGCCCTACATTTCAGATACATTTACATATAGTTTTGTTGTATTAGTGAACGTGTTGGGTAAAAACTAACCTTGATGGAGAGTGTTAAATGACATATGATGAAATATTAGTCTTTGTAAATCATCGTAAATGACAGAGAATATTGAACAAACTCATGTATGAATTGCTATATGTCTTTTATTTGGTCATATGTCTGTGAAGAATAGCAAGAAAAACTTTCTAAAGAACATGCAGTAAAAGTTTCAGTAAGCAGTGCTTACAGTGAGCAGGGTCTCTGAAGAGTCTCTTTTAGGGTATACCTAAATATTCGTTTCACCTTTCAAGAACCACTTTTTACCAAACAATTTTACTGATATCCTCTGTAGTGGTTTAATATATTTCTCAAAATTCTTGCATGTGCTGGAGAGAAATAGATTTTTTTTTTTTTGTCATTATGTAAAGGCATCACAGAGGCTGTCCTGAGATACTTTTTATTTAATTAAAAGTAAACTGCTTCGCTCTCCTACAGTTATACTAATGCACTTAAGTCATAAGCTGACGTGTCATTATTGGATATAGAGATATTAAAGATAAAATTGCACTGCCAGAAAAATTCAATGAAAAGCATTTAGGTTGGAAGAAGTGGGTAGGTCTTGTAGCATAGCATTCTAGTGAAAGCAGGAAAAAGAATTGCTGGAAGGTGTATTCCATTATCATTGGAGAATTTGGTGGGGGGAAACATTAATCCAGTAGCTGAATTGCCAATTAACAGAACATTTTAGAAGTGAATTAGTAATTATGAGTTTGGTTCTTTTGGGGCTGATTATACATGTTAACATTCATTATTCTAGTATTTGCCAACTATTTTTATCCAGTTCCACAAAATTAATTTATTAAATATTTGTTTTGTAATATTATATGATGATCTCTGTCTTTGTAGGTGAAAGTATCAGACTTTTTTCTGCTGCATAGTGTTATTCAGAATGAAAAACTGTTGTTTTTTTATTTTCATGCTGATATATGTTTAGCAGTTTAGTTTAAGGCAAAAATATAGAAAGAATTGTATTTTCCTTCCTTTTTTATCTTTATCTCTTTTTCATTTTTTATCTTTATCTCCTTAATCAGTGTTTATCTACCATGTTTGTCCGTGACAATACTCTTCACAAATGTTATCCAAATACATTTTTATGAAATTACTGATATTTTGATTTTTTGTTTATCATTTGGAATTATCAAATCACTGAACTTCACTAATGTTTATTTGTCTGCTTTAATATAGTTTCCTATATTGATGCAGCAGCTGCGTGCAGCCACCAGCTGGGATATGTAAGTAACAATTATTTTAAATTAATATGTTAAAATTCAAAATTGTCACCGAATTTTATTAAAGATATTCATTAACAGGTTATTTGAGGAGTGTTTTAGCGTGTCAGACTGCTGTGGTATCTGACTGGCAGTATGATGGTGAATATAAGATGGAATTTTTTCAGCATTGAATTAATATATTGCTATTCTACAGGACCAAAGATTATAGAAAATCTCTAAAATTTAATCTAGAAGTTATATAATATAGTATAACAAATAGTGTTACTTAAAATCACTGAATAAGCCAACTCCATACCATAAAGGAGTAAAATAACTGTAATGGTAGCTTTATTTTAAACACCTGTCAGAAATATTTCAATGTGATAGTGCCCTCTGCTGTTTTTCATAGATGTTCTGTTATTCCAATTTTTTTGTTTAATGGAACATTTAAAACTAATTTGCTGATACAGATGTGATTTCTATTTTGTCAGCTGAGAAGTCTAAAATTATCTATAGGTGTTTTCTATGTTATATGAAAACTGTATGTGAGCTTGACAGATTAGTAAGACTAACAAACTAAAGAATCTTCACTCTTCCATGTTAAAGAAGAGAAATGTCTTTATGCATGAATTTATTGCTAAAATGAGCTGAAATACTGAGTTAATTGTTGACACAAAAAATCCCATAAATAATAAGAAGGAAATCCGAGCTGTAAATAGGACATCGAATGTTTCCTGCCCTTAGCAACCTGCGTAAAATATAAATGAGACATGATTGGTTTTGTTGTATTTTGTAAATAGTTTTTCTGCACCCACAAAATATTTATTTGATACGCAGACGTGCTAAAGTTGCTCGAGTGATTGGTTTACTGGCATTACACACATCTGAACTTGGAGAAAATGTACCTGTTTCTGAGGTAACTTACCTTTTATTTTTTTTTAATAAGGGAGTTTTGTTAATGCTTTTACTATTTATGTCAGAAGCTTTCACAGCTTTTTTTGTTTTGACCCCTGCTTTAGTTTTTCCTCATATGTCTAAATTGGAATATAATCAATTAATTAAATGTGTAAATTTATGATCTCATTCTATATAGTTGTAGTTCTGATCTTTACTAACCTGTGGCTGAACTACCCACCAATAAAAAACTCTAGCCTTTTTCTCTCCTTTTCATAAAATCAGTCAATGTCATGCTTCTTGTGTGTGTGTAGAAAGAAGAAAATGTTGCCATTGTTCGGTTATCCTGAAATTAATTATTATAATTAGTATAAAAATAGTGCAATTGATACTTAGGCATATTTTTTCCAAAAAATTAATTGAGATGGGAGTAATTTGAGATTCCTCACAGTTCTTGAAGAGTATGTGTAATGAAGGGCAAGTAATTTTCTTTGGAGAAGAAAAGTATTTTTAATTTTTTTTTCATTTTTCATGGTCAGTGGTTGACTTATGCAGAAGATTGATTAGACAAAATTGTCTTACTGTCCTTTTTTGGATGTGACACATGCACACAGATTGAGAAATCTTGACAGAATGTACTATTTAATATTTGTTTAAAGTGTGACTGTGACATTATTTTATTTCTGCTTCATAAGGTGAAGCCAGAACTTGAATGTAATGGGTGTTCGAATGTGAGACCCAACTGCTAAACACAAGCTGTAAATATGCCTCTGTGCTGTGTAGGTCTGGCATGTAGGAACATACAGTTATTGGTTAATATCTGACTGTTTTGGAAATGTGGCTATTTTGTTGCTTTAGGTCCCTCTGGTTTCTTCTTAATGAATATTAAGTATATGATTATTTTGCTGTGTTGCTTAATGTTTCAATTCTGTAGTGAAAGCTGAACTCAAAACATTGTAGTTCATACCTGTTTGTCTCATAAAGTGACAAAGTGGGGTAAGAGTCCTTATAGTTACAATCACTGAAGTTTGGTCAACGTCTTTCAATACTGACAGTTGCACGTCAGTTGAATTCCAGGTCACAATTTAAGTGCACTCTTGTATGCGACTGATTTTTTTTCTGATATTTAACTTTTAAAAGTTCCAGTGAAAATACTCAAAAGTAATTTTGAGATGTTCATATAGCTTTTGGCTTCAGGTGTTTGTTAAGGTCCTTAGCACTAATATATTCATTAACAGTTTCTCCAGCTTCCTAGTTTCCACCATAGAAAACACATTTCCTACTCAGCTGTTGTATTTAAAAGCAATAGATTGAAGTAGTTATACTCTAAGCTGTAATATTATTTTGTTCAAAATGTTTTCAGTGGGTTTTTTATATGAACATAAAAATTATTCACAAATGAAATTTAGCATTTTTATAAGTATTCATGTACTTCAAAAAACAAGTTAAATCTGGGACTAGGCCCATTCTTATGTGAATTAAAATTAGTTTTTATATACATTCACTAAGAAAATAAGGATTTATTTTTTAAATTAACAAATCTGAGTTCAAAATGCACGTACTATGCTTTATTTAATGGCATTCATTCAGATTTTTTTCTCACAAAGTAATATCTGTGAATTAAAAAGATTTTAGAGTGCTTACACAAAATTAGAATGAGGAAAAAAATTGAATCCTGTATTTTCATGTCTTCAAATAATCTAAAATCTAATATCTAAAAATCTAAAATCAAATAACTGTGGGCAGTACACAAAACTTAACAGTTCATTTATAGGAAAAGTAGGAAGGAGTCATTTATGAATTTCTTATCTGCCAAGTTGTGTTCCCCTCTGCTCCCTCCAGAGGAACCAGATGAACCTGTGAGTTTGTTGAACATTCTTGTTAACTGTCAGCTATTTTATGTTGTGTGATGCTTAAAAAAACCCCACAAAGCAAACCTTTAAACCAGCCTTATAAACTGTATTAATATAATACTGTAATTTATCCTCTTATTTGAGCCAGCTGATACTCCAGCTGAAGTTAATTGGTGGCTGCTGTGATTTAGGAAGTGTTGAAATCAAGCTGTAGCTAGTCAGAACAACATAGTCTAAAATGACTCTGATTCAGGTCTTACAGTCTGAAGATACAGGAGTGATCTATCTATTGACAGGGGTTTTTTGTGTTTTCTTTCCACTTCCATTCCTAGTAACTTCTAATACTCTTCACTTTTTTCATCTGTTAAATAGAGGTGATCTGTTTTAGCTCCAAAATTTGTTTGCACTTGTGAAAAGTCAGTTGAGAGCTCGTGAGGATGCTATTCTGGAATTATTTTTGCTCCCTTCCCGTACCATGCTATTTATGTCAAATTTTCATTCCAGTTTTTATCACTTAAGGATAGTTCCTCTATCTTTGAGGTTGAATTTGCACCATTAACTTTTTTAGTTGTCATTAAAATGATTTTGTAAGTAGTAGTAACATTAAGCCCTGAAAGAGGCAGAAAAACTTCAGTAAGAAAAGAAGCCTCATCCTTATTTTAAAGGCTAAAGTGAACTTTCATGTACTGTATGCCAAAAACCTTTAATTTGTTGGTTTTTGAAGGATTAGTGCTTTGGGGATTTTTTAAAGTTTTTATTCAGGTAATTCGGGAACAGCAGTTTCCTTTGAATGTAACCACCAGAGGTCACTAAAACACAAAAATAAATTCAAGTAAACTTATTTCACAGACTTGACAAGCATGTAAATGTATAATTGTGTAGTATCTTTATTCTGCTGATGTATTCTAATATGTAGGTCATATTAGAAAAAATTAGAATAAATGAATATTTATATCTGTGAATTCACTTGCAGTTGATCTATTTTCAGTTAAGAACTTTTAAGAAGCATATTGCATTGATAAGAAAAAATAAGACTGATCTTAGAATGCAGTAGGGAAATTGATCTCTTCTAAAACTGTAGATGAAGACATTTTATGTGGAATTTCTTCTATCATGCAGTTGCAATAAAAGTTTTTAATAGGTCATTTTTTTTCTCACTTATTATTTTTTTTTCTCATGGAATTACCCTTTAGAAATCTGAAACATAATTTCCTCTTATTTATTCCTAGTTTTCTTATGAAAGCATCTAAACTTTAAAGTTTTATGTTTGTATTTAGATTTTGAAACAGATTCTTAAGATTCTGTGAAAAACATTCTTTCTTTCCAGGATTCTGTTCTTCATCTTGCAGGAAGAAAAATTATTCTGTAGTTAGGGAAGCTTGTTTCTGTGTACATCTAATTTGGTTTATCTAATAAAAGAAGCTATAGTTCTTTCCTTTCTGTGAATATATCGAGCCTTCTGCCACCTAGGACACAGCCACTCCGATGTGACATTTCAGATGCAGTCTGAATTTTATTAAGAGATGATAGAGCAACTCAACAGAATGCTTCCATGTCAGGGAGCAGTGTCTTTCTCTGTCTGGTAGGAGACTACTCTGGAGTCCTTCTCTGCCTGTCCTTTTGGTGGCAAAATCTAGTCCTTTTCTTTACCTCTTTTAAATTTGCTAATTGGGAATACTAGTCTCACACTCTGACCTAGGGAGTTGTGTCTGGTTTTTTTTTTAACAGACCTGGGTCCGCTGCTCTATCAAATGCTTAAAGGGTTCAGAGAACCTGGTACAGCCTTCACACTGCAAGTTTTTTTGCAAAGCCTTTGGTATTCCATGGACAAATTAATAAACTAAATATCCCATGGACAATGACAGCATATTAGAGTATCTCAGTAACATTGAACTTAGACTCCTTTGTCACAGTAGTGAATACCCAGATTTCTGTTTTCATATAAATTGATTTCATGTAATTTGAGCCTTTTTCTTTCTGATTTTTTATTAAAGTACAATTTAGTGGTTGTTTTCCACAGCTGCAAAGCAGCTGTAATGTTACAGCTGCAGTTGTATGACATGCAAACTCATATATGTACTCTCGCTGATCTGACTCTGTCTGCACTGTTCTAGGTCTAGAGTTTGTTGTCATTCAGATTCATCCAGAATGCCAATCTTAAGTCATGTTCCTATCTTGCTTCTCTGATAACTCCTGTTCCTAGGTCTGTCTGTGTCTGCCCATATTGTAAGGAGTTGCAAATAAAAGTGGTTTGAATTGGCCATTTATTCCAAACCTATTTAGTTTTAATGTTGTTTTATTGTAAAATAAATTCCTTAGTCTGCTCACACATGACCATAATTTTAGTGTATCCTTGTTTGTTTTCTCCGAGGGCACTTTCCTTGTTTTGCTCTAATATCTCTTACATGAAAAAAACCTAACCCAAAACAAAGCAAAAACCACCCCAATTTAAAAAAGTCTGTAGGCAGGAGATGAAAGCTGTAGCAGAGTATGTGCACAAGTACTAACACATGTGCACATACACGTGCCTACTGTTTTGTAAATTGATTAGAACTTTACAATTACCTTTCTGGCATAATTGGGATTGTCACTTAATACCTTGGTAACAGCAAGAGGAGATTCAAATTTTTCAGTGACTTGTAGTAAACTTTCAACCTCTATAAAGTTTCTTCAATTTATTTTCAACAATCTGGTTCACTGAATGTAACACATATTTGCCTGGGGCACGTGGTAAGAAGACAAATGAAAAATTAACATTTCTCAGGTAAATTAGCAGAAACTCACGGTGTGTTTGAGAAAAGTGCTTTTGAGTTCATAAACAGAAAATGGAAATAAATTAACAACTGTGAGTCTGTCAAGCATGGCAATTCTGAATTGTTGGAGAAAATATTAAGGCCTTTTATCATAATTGAAGATTTTTTTTTCTCATTCAAAAAATTATTTTTATCAATCCAATTAATTGGGCTTGCTTTATGTTTGAAGTCCAAAACAGGGTGGTAATAGAAAACAAGGAAGTTCTCAACTAGGAAAGAGAAAACATTGCCAATTGCAGGATTAAATCACTTTTTGCAATTTTCTTAAGTTAGTTGCCTGGCTGAAGCAAAATCTGTAACCTTTTCAAAGACATTTAATTGACACTGTTTTCATAGTCCATTAAATTTAGTCTGTT